TCACGGCCTCGCAGGCTGCTGGACCTTGTTCCCACAGGCAAATTAAAAGGAGGGTCACCGCCTTTGATCCACCTGAACAGCGCCAAGCGCCCCCCTGCAGAAGCCGGGGCAGGGGCAGGCAGTGCCGGCAACGCTGATTTAGGGAAACTGCGTTGCGGGCACACGCCTCAGCCACTCCCTCCGGCAGCCCCACAAATACGCACGGTCCCCGAGCACAAGGGTGAGGAAAACGGAGATTTCCATTGCCTTTACAGCATAGCCCATGCACCTTCCCAGCAAGGGGTGACCTCCGACCCCTTCCCATTTCCTCACAGCACCAGGGAAGAAAGGCTGTCTCTCCTCAACATCACAGGAATCACAGACTAGCACAGTTTGCAGGGGCCACGGAGCCACCGGGTCCAACCCCCTGCTGCTGCCAGTCGCACAGCTCCTCAAGCCCCTCCATGTGACCCGTTTACAGTCTCCCCCCACCAACGGGTTTCCAGGGGAGCACGTGAGGCAGCTCCAAGCCCTCTCAGCCTCCATACCTCTTGGGTGAGAGAGCCCGGCAAGCCAGGTGGGCTGGGCAGGCCGAGCGAGAGGCTCCCAGGCCTGCCTTCCCACACGGCAGAGGAGCTGCCTGCAAGCACCTGCCGGCTGGGAGAAAATGCTGAGGCATCGCGGCGGCCTAGAGCAAGGTGGGGGGGGGGCGCACCGTTTGAGCGAGCAGGCCAGAGGCCCCGGCTCCGCCAACCGGTTCCGACCGCGGCCAGCAGCCACGCCTTCCTTCGCCCTCTGCAGCAGGTGTGGGGCCCCGAAACACGCCGGAGCCCAGAGCGGGGCACCCACCCAAGCATGCACGCCGGCCTCACGAATAGCAGCCCAGCCCAGCCCAGCCCAGCCCTGCCCTGCCCTGGGCACCTCGGGCGCGACAGCTGCCGGGCCCGGCGGGCGGGCGGCCCCCCACAGGCAGCGCAAAGCGCACAGCTGGCTCACAGCTGAATCGCCCCCCCAACACGCAGCACGTCAGTCCTATTTGTGGACGGGCAAAGGACACAAAGGCGACGAGCACAACAGTCCACGGGCCGAAGGGCCTCCTGAGCGGCACGGGCGGCGAGATCTGGACAGGCCCCCTCCCGAGCGCGCCCGTCATGAAATCGAGCGAGGTCCATCGCCTCCGCGCATCCCGCATCCCTCGCAGCGCCCCGCGAGAAGCGCGGCCCGGAGCCGCGCCGGCAGCCGCGC